TATTTTGTGATATTAATTATTTAATTAATTTACATAGTTATTTTATTTTATTTTAGATATTTATCGATTACATATAATTCATAGTGCTTATGATTTTAATATTTTTGTTATTAATATTACATGATATTATATATATATGTGTATCTGGAAGTTAATATTATACTTGATATGAATATTTTCATAATGTTTTTCTCAAATTTCGGTTTCATTATGAAGATATTGTTTATATTTTTTATGTTTTTCATTTTTGTTTCTGTTTGTACTGTTTTCACATCACCAGTCTAAGATTGAAAATGGTCGGTAGAAAGATAGAAAATTTCCTTTATTATGCTATCTATAATACATAGGGCACTCCAAAAGTTTTTTCATCTGACTCTCCTAAAAGCCATAATTTGAATGCAACTATTCTGTCATAATGCTTAGACATATTTAGGATTATGCGCAAATTTTCAGACTCACAAGTCTCGTTCTTTGCTGTATTTTTAGATTACTTTCAGACTACTGTTACACTAGTTGTCAGATGCATTGCAAATCTTTATAGTAACAATTTTCAACAATAATTTTACGTTACATTTGCTTCAGCAATAAAGTTGTACCCCCATTCGGATGATCGCCAGTTATTGTAGCCGAGCAACATTCTAATGTTGTTCTATCAATGATTGATGACGGTTCTGATTGAATATACAAATAAATAAAGGACACTTTGATGATCATTTCGTCAGTGTTTATTTCGATTATTCTTGTGTATGTAACGTTGGACAACGTTTTCTGTTCGATGAGTGCATTTTCAGCTCATTGATGACTGAAAACAGTTCCATATTCAATTGAGTCATTATTTTCTAAATGGATCTAGAGAGATCAATGTCCATCTTTTATTCTACATTGTCACTAGCCATATGTAACGATTTTATCATAATGATAAAATTAGAGTAGAGTAGTCGAAAATCAGAGCGTAAAAAATTCATTCCCAAGCTGACTGGGTTTATCGGAACAGGAGACCAGACAGACAAATCGTGTCAAAGTTTCTTCACGAAATTTTATTAGACTAAGCTCATGCCAATAGAATCTATTAAACTAAAGTCTGCTTGCCAATAGTTGCTTTCCGTAAGTTTTCAAACTGACTTTGCAGGTTAATAGAAGATCGGTCATTGAAGTCTGAGTTTTCACTATAAAAATGCGAGACCATGAAGAGGGTTGGATATCACCAAAGTTTTAGCAGATGATCACATCAAATCATGTTCAAATTGAACATATTCTACAGATTCTATCTCGTGCCAAGGTATTCTGCTTGCAAAATTTAAAGATCAACAGTTTTGAAATTTGATTCAACAGCAACAATACAATACTACATCTC